CTGATAGTCTTAGGCAACCCCTGTGAAAGGGTCGTTCGACCCCCAAAGGGGTCGCGACCCACAGGTTGAGAACCGCTGATCTAAGTAGTCACCTAAAAAAAACAAAAACAAAAAACAAAAAACTACATGTCTCTAATTTGAGTGACTCTTTGAATTGGCCTGTTCTAGGTATTTTCTCTTGTGGCAATATTAAAATATTAAAGTAAAACTTTAATACATGCTCATAATTAAATCATCTGAAAAGTTTTTTAAACCATTGTGAGGCTCATTATGTAAAATATACATAAATAAGCCTCATTTTTTCCTTTAATGATGATGATTGTGTGTGTGTGTGTGTCCTACATTCTGTCTCACCCAGGTTAGTACATTATCGTGGCAATAACCAACCTTAGGAGTCTAGGAAAGTAAAAAGTTCTGTTCAAAGGCTACAAACTAGCTTAAGCTAGATCCTCGATGTGGCATCCTATTAATATCGTAAACATTAATTACATTGATGTGAAAGGAAGTGGGGAGAGGAAAAGAAGGAGATATTTTATGCCAATTCCTCTCTCTGCCAATGGGCAACAGTATCTGTATCGTAAGAACAACCCAGGGACTCACCAGATAGTTTTTGAATGAATGAATGAATGAATGAATGAATGACTACCCCTCTGGGAGTACCAGATACACTATTGCTTGAAGGTGAAGAGATGGAGTAAGCATCTTCAGCTTTTTTCCTGTTTTATGATTCTGTGGTTTCTTTGACTTTTAAGAACTGGTTAGGCTGCAAATATATTTTAAAGTCTGAAAAGCAAAGTGCTCTCAGAGAACAGGCAGGGGGAAAACACATCTCAACGCATCCACTTGAATCATTCATATCATGATTGTTTACACGGACAAGCACTGTCAATGCATAAAGACCACGTATACCCCCAGAGCTAACTTGGGGCTGGAATCTGACTGTAACGTGCCAAGTTCCTTTGCACCCAATAGCAGCCGACCTGCTTCCAGGGGTGCACACGGGAGAGCAGGCAGCGGCGGTTCCGATGGATGCTTTCTCCTGCCGGTGAGGAAAAAACTGCTGAAGTCATGAGGCCGCCCCAGCAGAGCCCTCATGTGAGTCATATGAAAGCTCCCGCGCTGCTGACCTCTGGCAAAAAGGCAGTGACCGAGGACAGGAGAGGCCGAGAAGGAGAGGCTCCAGAGCGAGCTTTCTCCTTGAGCCTGGAAGACGATGGGCCAGGAGCTGTGTGCAAAGACTCTCCGGCCCGGCTGCAGCTGCCATCGCTGCTGGGAGGGAGGCGATGCGCGCAGCTGTCAGAGGAGAGCGCCCGAGAGGACCGAGGCTGCCATCCAGGTACTTGTCTGCCAGCAGCAGCAGCAGCAGCATCTTTCTCTGCTGACAAACCCAGGAGAGCAGAGACCGGCTCCCCTCTCCGTGGCAGGCAGGGTCTGATTGTTCTGCGGTAGGTCTCAGCCAATAAAAAGGAATTTCTATTAAAGTCACAGGGAATTTATGGCCATAGTTATCAAATTTGGAGATTTGCTTGTAAACCAAAAGGGAAAAAATAACCCGAGGCTTTGGGCCGCCTGAAACTCAGTGGACTTGAGGTTGAGAGAGGAGTTGTTATTCTCTTGAAACCTCTCCAGGACTGAAGAGCAGGGCTGACCTCCGCGTAAAAAGCAAGCTGCAGGATTGCTATGCTGTGGACTTAAATGTTCAGTAATCAGCTCGTGGTGGTTAGCAATGCCACACTAGAAAATTATCCCCCTACAGGGATAAATGAAGGGGACATGGGGGGGAAACAAGTGTGAGGTAAACAGAGATACATTGGAAACCATCCATCAAAGAAATTTAGGTTAGCCAAGTTTTCAAGGACATATTTTTAGGTGAAGAAAGAATGTAGTGTTTCAACAATGGATATTCTTAAATTTTGTGTGTGTGTGTGTGTGTGTGTGTTTAAGTGATCTGACCTTCAGAAAAGGTGCCTTATGAGGGTACAGAAGCTTAGGAAATATTTGAAAAGTGAAAATCAGGCAAAAAAAAATGAAAGCATTGTTTATGCCAGCCACTAGGTCTTGACATTGCATACATTTTATTGCTGCACTTTCCTTTTTTTCTCTAGCTAACAGACCTCAAAGAAGCATCACGTTCCACGACTTCATTTCACCCCAGGGGACGTCAGGCTGCCCATGCCCGGAAGTGCAAGAGTAAAAGGCCACGCAGTAACAGTGAGTCTTTTCAGGAAGAGGATCTGAGGCAGGGCTTTCAGTGGGTGAGTGAGCAGCTGATGCTGATCAAGAGGGTTTCATGTGTGCTTGTCTAGCGAGGCTGGCCCCACCTCCAGGGCAATTACTGAGCTGACCTTCCAAGTACATTCCAGCAAATTCCTCGGCGGGAGGGGGGTGGGGGAGTCAACACTAAAAAAAAGTGCTCTTTCTTTCTTTCTTTCCCACCTCTCATCCCTACCTGTTCCCTTTAAGCCCACGAAGAGCCTCCTCCCTTTTGGGGCAGCCTCATCCTACTTGAACTTGGAGAAGCTGGGTGAAGGTTCCTATGCTACGGTTTACAAGGGGATTAGCAGGTGAGTGACCCATAGCTGGAGAGACTTTAGAGATGAGGATCCCTCCCCTTGGTTTGACATTGTAAAGCCAGGTGACACATTGCAGAAGTTCAGGACCCGTGCAAGACACCATGGCCAACAGGGAAAGACATGATGACTTAAACAACCTTGCAAGAAAAGCAAATTTCTCCCGCCCCAATTAAAACCAGCCCACTATAATGTTTATCAGCGTTCCTTCTCTTGATTTCAATGCAAAGTAGACTTGCTCTCCCCCTAAAACACAGTGGAAGTTTGCAATGGCAACCTTGAGTTTGCTCCTTCATTCTTCCACTTGCCTTCAGAGGAGAAACTGAAGTTCGTTTCTACAAAGCATGGTATATGCAAAAAGTGATTAATCCTGTGTTTTCTACACTCATAAAATAAACAAAATGGCTGAAGAATAAAAATACTGCTAATCCAGAAGCCAAGTGCCCATTTGGCTAACAATAAACTTTGTCAAACATATATGAAAGATCTGTGAACTCCACTGCTCTTTAGTAAAAAAAAAAGATGGAGGTCTGATTTCTTTATGTCACTTCGATGTTGAAAAATAAAATGGCTTAACCGAGGTATGTACCCTTGACCGGAATCGAAACAGAACCCTTCAGTCTGAAGGCCAATGCTCTATCTACTGAGCCAAACTGGCAAGGGAGATGTCCAATATTTTAAGAGACAAAAAGCAAGTTACAGAACAATATGTGCTCTATGATCTCATTTAGAAAAAAAAGCACTCAAATGTACTTATTATACATGTATAAATTTGTATGTGCATAGTGGAGTCTGGAAAAAATACACAAGATATTCTTAAAAGTAGATACTTCTAGTGGTTGATACTGGGATGGGGAAAGAAAGATCACTAAAACTTTTCACTTTATTCCTCAGCACAAAGACATTCATTATATTTGTAATTTAAGAGCAAATTTTAAAATATCATAGAGATAGATGCCAAAAAGGCATGTGATAAAAGTTCAACATCAACTACTAGTTTTTAAAACTCTGAGCAAAATAGGAATGGGATGATACTTCCTCACTATGTTATAGAATATTTCACATCAACAGCCCACACATTTTTTGTTGTTGTTGTTAATTACTAGAGAGACAGCACCATTAAGTTAGAGATAGGCAAGAGTGCCCATTATCTTTTACTAGAGGCCCGGTGCACAAAATTCATGCACTAGCGGGGGGGAGTGTCCCTCAGCCCAGCCTGCACCCTCTCCAATTTGGGACCCCTTGGACATCCCTCTCACAATCCAGGACTGCTGGCCCCCAACCGCTTGCCTGCCTGATTGCCCCTAACTGCTTCTGCCTGCTGGCCTGATAACCCCCTAACCACTCCCCTGCCAGCCTGATCGATGCCTAACTGCTCTCCTGCTGGCCCGATTGCCTCCAACTGCCTTCCCCTGCTGGCCTGATCACCCACAACTGCCCTCCCCTGCCAGCCATCTTTGACCACATGGGGAACCCTGCTGGCCTGGTCACCCCTAACTGCCCTCCCCTGCTGGCCTGATCACCCACAACTGCCCCCCCCCTTGCTGGCCATCTTGTGCAAGGGTGTGATGGTCAATTTGCATATTACCTCTTTATTATATAGTTAAAGATTACCATTAATGTTCTAGCCAATGCAATGAGGAAAAGAAGAATGAATATCACTTTTTGGGGGAGGTTATAGACTTGTCTACCTAAAAACCCATGAAACTATCAAAATCAGTATGATAAACAGTAAGATCAGTTACAAAATAAAAATATCCTTATCAAAAGTTGTCTTTATGTATTAGCAATAACCATTTAAGAGAAAATATAGTGGGAGAAATTACTCTCACAGTAGCAGTAACAAAAAGCATTCACTTCAACAAATAGGCAGGATTTATATAAAGATTTATTAAGGAACATTAAACACTTGAAGAGCCATAAGGGCATTCATTTTTTTTTCATACAGGCACTCATTCAGTCTACTAATATTTTTTAAGCACCCACTGTGTGCCAGGCACTACTGTAGCCAATAAGGATTCCTCCAAGAAGGAGACAAAACCCCCTGCTCATATGGATTGTACTTTCTAGTGGGAGATAGGCAATTATTAAACTTAGTAAAATACTGAGTTTGTCAGAGGGTGGGGGGTGGTGAGATAGACAATTATTAAACTTAGTAAAATACTGAGTTTGTCAGAGAGTGAAAAGTGCTTTGAAAAAGGATAAAACAGGGAAGAGGGGTTAGGGGTGGATTACTATTTTAAAAGAATGATGACAGGGGGCCGCACTGGGAAGGGAACACTTGAACAGACTCTGACACAGGGAGCTGTGAGCTGTGCACATGTGAGGTGGAAGAGCTTCAGGCAGAGGGAACGGCAGGTGAGAAATCCCTGAGGCCGGAGCAGGCCTGGTGCTGGGAGGGGAGAGTGGAAGCAGATGAAGGCAGGGAGAAGACGCAGCTGCCGTAGGACAGGTGTATAGGGTCTTATAGATCATTCCAGGGGCTGTTGTAAGGATATTTGGATTAGAACATCTAATAGTGCAAAGATGTTAATAATTCTCTAATTTAGATTCTTACTGCATTGTAAATGTGTTCAAAAGCTACAATAATTAAAATAGTGTAGCACAAGTATAAGAAAAGACAGATCAAAGAAGTATGAGTTTTTAAAGTTCTGAATAGTCACAAATCCAAGTATTAGTAAGATCTCATATATAATCATGGTGGCACTTCAAATCAGCAAGGAAAAGAAGATGGTCCAATACATGGAGCTGGGACAATAGTTAGCAACTGGGAAATATAAATTCCCAGTGGGTTAAAGAGTTAAATAAAAAATAAAGAAAAAATCCAGGAACTAGAAGAATAGATAAGAGAATTCTGTGTGTACATAACACTTAAGTCAGAACCCATAAGGGAAGATTGGAAGTGTTCATGGTGCCCCATCTGTCCAAGTATGTTCTACAAAGCCCCAATTTTGAGACACCTTAATAGAGGTTTTATTGAAAGAGTTACTGTGGTAAAATTGACACTGGGAACCCTGGAACAAACTAAAATGTGACCTTCATTGTAGGTGCTCTCAACATCTTTAAAATGTGCATGTATACCAGTACTATCTAAGAAAGGCTGAGAACATTTTAAAGTATAAAGGATTTTCTAAACATATTTGACCAAAAAACTTTTTTGGAGGGGTGGTGAGAATTTCAAAGAACTATGCTCTGAGTAAAACATTTTGTAGTGCCCCATGCCAGAGCAAACTGTGATTTTGAACCATAGCCTGGCCTCTGCCCATAGGCCCAGGCACCAAAGCAGGTTACACGGTTTGAGGGGGGTGGGAGGGGGGAGGAGTATTTTAGAAAATGTTGAACATCATAAAGTTTTTAAATTTCAACATTTCAAAGACATGATAAGGCAAACAAAAGAAATTGTTGAAGAGTATATGCAAAATAGTTTAGTAAAATGGTGGTCAAATAAGGCAAATCATAAAAGAACAGAAAAGACCAATACATTTATGAAAATTCAGTTCCACAACTAAAGACATAGAAATTAAAATGTGGTAATCCTTTTTATCTATAAATAGTCCAGAAAGATTAAGATAAAAGCATGCTCTAAAAACAAACCCCGAAAATGTGTAGCTATCCCACCCTCAAGGAGGGGGAGCACAACTCCTCACTCCTTAAGTGTGAGCTACTCACGGGGACATTCTTCCCTAAGTATAGTGTTGGGGGTGGGGGTGGGGGGTAACTACAGGGAAGAAATCTGACAAACATTACCTCAGCCAGGTGATTAAGGCCAACATCAAGTCATAATTACGATGATATGTGCCCTTACTATGGTGTGATGAAAATGGTACTCTCCCTCCTCCACACCCCTAACCCCAGTGTTATAATCATAAGAAAACCTCCAACAGAGAGGTATCCTACAAAATTCTTGACTAAGGTGCCAAGGTGCTCAAAAACAAGGAAAGTCTGGAAAATTGTCACAGCCAAGAGGAGCCTAAAGAGACATGACAACTACATGTAAACTGGTATTCTGGATGGGAATCCTAGAACAGAAAAGGGACATTAGGCAAGAACTAAAGAAATCCTGGTAATCATATTGCAATGTATAAATGTATCAGATCAACACATTGTACACCTTTAACTTGCACAACATATGCCAATTATATCTCAATTTAGAAGAAGACTAAGATAAAAAACTTGATTTCATAAATTTACACATCTACTGATATCTACTTTAGAAGAAATAAAAAGAAATAATAGTTACTGTAAGAAAACATTTTGAAATAAAATGAAAAAGTCATAAATGCTATAAAAAGGAAAGGTAGTACATACCAGCAAATAAATGTTGAAGACTTAAAGATCGTCTGTACTCTATCACTTCTGTGCACGTGTGCATTTTGTCTTCCATGTGCACACAGTTTATGGTCGACCCTCAAACAACACGGGTCCACTTATACACAGATTTTTTTTCAACAAATACCGTAAATGTATTTTCTCCTCCTTAGGATTTTCTTAGTAACATTTGCTTTTCTCTAGCTTACTTTATTGTAAGAATGCAATATACAATACATAAAACATACAAAATATGTGTTAATTGATTGTTTATGTACAAGCAAGGAGATTGTTAGGAGGTTAGTACAATGATTCAGATGAAAAATAAGGATAGCTGAGATAAGTGCACAAAGGAAAATAAAAGGAACAATATAGTACATCAAAATATTACGAGGAAGGATCTGATGGGGGGTGGGGGCATTCTCTGATTTCTGTATCTCCAAATTATTTTTATAATAAACATGGATCACTTTGGTAAAGAGAAAAAAATATTTTGGTATACATATACATATTATATGACTTTTAACACTTTTTATTTTGAAAAATTGTAGATTCGTATGCTAGAATATATTTGGAAGGAAAACTTATTTATGTTAAATTGTAAAGAGCCATCTTAATGTGCGCCCTTTCCCCCCATTCTTCTAGAATAAACAGACAACTAGTGGCTTTAAAAGTCATCAGCATGAATGAAGAGGAAGGAGTCCCATTTACAGCCATCCGAGAAGGTAAGAAGAGTGAAATGGACCCAACCGATATGTTTTAACTCAGGGGTCCTCAAACTACGGCCCGGGGGCCACATGCGGCCCGCCCAAAACATTTATCCGGCCCGCCGGGTGTTTTTGCCGCTGCTGTGTGCATAGGAATTTGTTCATAGTTTTTTTTTTTTAACTATAGTCCGGCCCTCCAACAGTCTGAGGGACAGTGAACTGGCCCCCTGTTTAAAAAGTTTGAGGACCCCTGTTTTAACTCATTGATTGCGGGGGGTGGGGGGGGGAATGCATTGAGTCTATCCATTCAGTATCTAGCTTTTGATATTTCTAGAAGTAATATTATAATTGTAATTTTATTCTTCCTACCAGTTTTTCAAGTATAGTTACACTATCATTTTGCTACTCATTTTTGAGGAAATCAAGATTCAAAAGTATTGTATTAGTTGACCAAGACTATACACTCAATGAGTATTTATTTAGTATCTCCTTGTGTGTTTGGTCCCATACTAAGTGCTAAGGCTATAGCTAATAACCTCAGAAAAATCCATATAAAAGATAAAATTAATAATATAATTACATAAATTCTTAGTAAACAATTTACTTGAAAATAATAAGTGGTTTAGATAGCATTTGAAAACCTCTTTGGGAAGGCACGTATGTCTATTGTTGTGCCTGTATTGTCTCTGTACCCTGGGGAGTATAGCAGGTGGGTGAGGATGGACTTGGGTTTGAATCTTAGATCTACCAATTACTAGTGTGACTGTAGGTAGATTACTTTACCTATTTAAGACTTGGCTTATTGCAGAAAGAGGATAATAATATTACCTATTTCTTTTCCTTGTTATGAGGATTAAATGAGAATATGCACTTAGAGCACTAATCACGGTCCATTTTCAGAATTCAACAAATGCTGGCCATTATCATTCTATTCTTGTTTTATTTCCCTCAGTGATGACTTGTTCACCACCAAAAAACCACTATCGTGAATATGAATCTTTAAAATTCCATTTATTAACCTTTTACAAGAGCCATTTGAAATAAAATGAGAATGGGATTGCTGTCCATTTCATCAAAAACCCAGAGAAATGGCTCTTCCCTGGCCTCACTTTCCCCCTGTTAAACGACTTCATTCTCCCTTCCCTTCTGTATGTGCACATCCTGCATGCACCACTCTAGGGGGCGGGGGGGCGGGGGCGGGGATTGAGATGG